ATTTTTGCTTTCTAATTGAAGATTAGCTTTATTTTCTAAACAAGGATTTTTACTATTTAATCGCTTTGCCAAATGATATTTCTTTCTCGCCGTCTTACACTCTTTATTGAACCAGGGTTTATTGCGTTTGTTTTCACAATTATCTTTCTTAAAATTACGACTAACCCCAAATGTTGATTTAGCTGTGTTTAAAAATATACCACATAACTTATTAGTAACATCGTTTAAAGTGTCTTTGCTAATGTTACTTGTTTCTGTACTACTAGTCAAAATATCTAACTCATTCTCTATGTCCTTAACCTTAGATATATCCACATTCTCTGGGAAATGTTTTGCTTGGTCTTGTGACCATAGTTTTACACGTGACTGATTTTCAACAATATCTTCACACCTGTGTTTTGTGGAAAGCGCTGGTAAAATAGAAAATGAAACTGGATTGTGCACATCCGAATACAAGTTACAGAAGTCAGAGATATCAAAATCTTTTATAAATTTAAACATAGGTGCTGTGGCAACCACATAATCCACCGTGCTACTACCCTTACAAGTTAAACCTCCCACGTATTTATCACTGCCAGCACGGCCATTTACTATATAAATGTCATTGTTTTTACAAAAATCAATCATTTTGTATCCAAAGTTATTAACATGGACATCTTGTACTACCCTACGGAGAGGAATCTTAAAGTTATCAAAGATAATAGTTCTAGTCTCTATGGCTGTCTTAAAAAAATCCTCACATTTTTGTAATTGTAACTGAAAATCATCAGCTTCAAACCAGTCTTTCAAATTGCCAACTCTTGAGTTAAAATCACCCATTAAACACACATATTTGCTATCTTTAGATATAGAAATAAGTTCACTCTCAATGTCTAAAAAACAATCTGTAGAAGCATATTTACTGCCTTCCGGGGGCAGATACACGACACCAAATATCGCATCTTCATCAGTATTAAAAATACATTTGCTTATCTTAAACCAAAGAACATATTTACAAGTAGTGTTCAATATTTTCACATATTTAACCAAACTATCTCTTACAGCTAAAATAATTCCTCCTGACCGAGTTTTTGATAGTTTTTGTCTATTTTTCATAAATAATGTATAACCCGGAATCTGAATTAAATCTGCGTCATCAGTTTTTGTTTCAGTAAAGCCGATAATATCAAAATTGGAGATGTGATTTAAAAATTCACTGTAATTGAGTTTATTTTTGATTCCACAAACATTTAAACTTAGAAGTTTGATAGAGTTGTTTGCTGACTTCTGACCCTCCGCGCTCTCCTATTTCGTCGGTGTCGAAGATTTCCTAAAGCGTTTGTTTCCTCGTGGGGGTGGTGTAGGATTGTCATTATTGGCAGGCTCGCGGCGCGCTCCGGACGTCCACGGTGTGTTCCTGGAACTCTGGGACATCCTTTGAGTTGGGAAGTTTAGGGAGTCGACGTGTTCCTCTGTATCACTTGGTTCATACATCTCACCATCAATGTACAATTTGTCCACAACAAGTTTCACACGTTTATTATTTTTCATCGCCTTGCGCATAACTGGATACAACTTGCGCTGTTTCTCCTCTACCTCCGGTGGAAATTGCTCATTCACCCAAATGTTAGATCCCTTAAGTTTGAGTGGGGCACGTTTGCGAACAAATTCACGATCTTTATAAAAACTAAACTTTGCCACAATGTTCCTTGGCTTGGTTCTGTACTCATCAGGTTTTCCTAAACGATGCACTCTCTCTAAGGGAATTTCATCATAGATTTTTAGCTTGGTTTTCAGGAAATATTGCAGAACTTCTTCACAGTTTTCATCTCTGTATTCAGGTATGCCGGTGAATACTAAATTATCCCTCATTGCCCTGCTTTTCAGATCGATCACTGATTTATGTAATTCACGCTGACCGTTGGTTAACTCTGTAATATCATCAGATAATTTCTTGTCTAAATTGGCTGTATCAATTCGAATAGCTTTCAGGTCTTGATCTGCATGTGATTTAACATTCTCAAACATATCACTCATAGACTGAGCACTTGCTTCAATGGACGACACGGTCTGTTTCACATTCTTGACCTCACTCTCAAATTTGTTTACCCTATCATTTAGTGTAGATATGGAGTCGGTTATTGACTGGAAATGTGTCATTTTATTTTCGATCTCACACAGCCTTTTGTCAAGTGTTGTGTTATTGCTCTCAATGACTGCAAGTCTAGAATTTATTTGCAAAAGAAGTTCATGTAGTGTCCCAAGGGAAATTTCTTTTTGTACCTTTTGAGATTCGTCATTACTATAAGCTGGGTACATAACAGAATGACTTTGAGATAGAATATTTGCCGTATCTGCCATCGATGTCTCGGACATGATTTCATATGCAAAGTTTTTTCTATCTGATCAGTTACTTTATACACCCTGCACACTGTAGTTCCTAGTGGACATGCACATTCAAGAATGATCACTGAACACTATTCAGTGATTCTAGTGTTTATGAAACACACAGCCCATATCAAAACTCACCTAGCGAATCCAAATATCCCAGTTAATTTCTTTCTATATTTCTAAAGAACTCGTACCTGTAGATTTTCAGCCTCAAGGACCACTAAAGACACATTTACACACAGAATTCACATATTTTTCGAGAGCAGATTTAAAACACCGCCATACTGGTCGAGTCACGTGACCTCCACCTATATCAAAATATAAGTTGAAAAAATATATATTTATATAAGTTCTATCAACCAGTTTTTATTTAACAGATAAATAACAAGAAACACGCATAATTATGAATAATGAGCATCAGTGCTGAGTGTCGCTCTTCAAAATGACAGTTTCCTATTTTCTCACACCTGACTTATATATCGTCTGTAAAACAGGTATACAGTAAAATTTAGAGCCGGTTTCAGTTGATATAGATGATTTAGGTATGATTTAAGAATTCTAAAAGAAAAAAAATCGTAGAAAATAATTATTTTGAAATAGTTATGAGCGTCAGTGCTGAGTGTCGCTCTTCAAAATGACAGTTTCCTATTTTCTCACACCTGACTTATATATCGTCTGTAAAACAGGTATACAGTAAAATTTAGAGCCCGTCTTAGTTGATATAGATGATGTAGGTATAAGTCAATAATTCTAGAGGAAAAAATCGTAGAAAATAATTATTTTGAATTAGTTATGAGCGTCAGTGCTGAGTGTCGCTCTTCAAAATGACAGTTTCCTATTTTCTCACACCTGACTTATATATCGTCTGTAAAACAGGTATACAGTAAAATTTAGAGCCCGTCTTAGTTGATATAGATGATGTAGGTATAAGTCAATAATTCTAGAGGAAAAAATCGTAGAAAATAATTATTTTGAATTAGTTATGAGCGTCAGTGCTGAGTGTCGCTCTTCAAAATGGCAGTTTCCTATTTTCTCACACCTGACTTATATATCGTCTGTAAAACAGGTATACAGTAAAATTTGAAGCCGGTTTCAGTTGATATAGATGATTTAGGTATGATTTAAGAATTCTAGAAGAAAAAAATCGTAGAAAATAATTATTTTGAAATAGTTATGAGCGTCAGTGCTGAGTGTCGCTCTTCAAAATGGCAGTTTCCTATTTTCTCACACCTGACTTATATATCGTCTGTAAAACAGGTATACAGTAAAATTTAGAGCCCGTCTTAGTTGATATAGATGATGTAGGTATAAGTCAATAATTCTAGAGGAAAAAATCGTAGAAAATAATTATTTTGAATTAGTTATCAGCGTCAGTGCTGAGTGTCTCTCTTCAAAATGACAGTTTCCTATTTTCTCACACCTGACTTATATATCGTGTTTCAAACAGGTATACAGTAAAATTTAGAGCCGGTCTTAGTTGATATAGATGATGTAGGTATAAGTCAATAATTCTAGAGGAAAAAATCGTAGAAAATAATTATTTTGAAATAGTTATGAGCGTCAGTGCTGAGTGTCGCTCTTCAAAATGGCAGTTTCCTATTTTCTCACACCTGACTTATATATCGTCTGTAAAACAGGTATACAGTAAAAATTTTAAGCCGGTTTTAGTTGATATAGATGATTTAGGTATGATTTAAGAATTTTAGAAGAAAAAATCGTAGAAAATAATTATTTTGAAATAGTTATGAGCGTCAGTGCTGAGTGTCACTCTTCAAAATGGCACTTTCCTATTTTCTCACACCTGACTTATAAATCGTCTGTAAAACAGGTATACAGTAAAATTTCCAGCCGGTTTCAGTTGATATAGATGATTTAGGTATGATTTAAGAATTCTAGAGCCCTCTACTATACATGGAACATAAGTTACATTGCATTTCGCAACAGACTTACAGTCTGTACTGCATTTAAACAGCATTAAGCGATTCTAAAATGTAAGCTACCAAGTGACCAATACATGTATTTAGAATTCTCTGATTTTTCCCCCACAAAATATGATGTAAATTTTTGCTTAAGTAGCGCATAAAATATCTACCAAACTAAGTGACTTTGTCTTCAAATACTGGGCAAGTTCTTATAATTGAGAGTTGTCTTACTGGTAGCTTGTCTAGCATTGTAGTGCATATGCAAGATGGTTTTTTTTTCACTTTACTATCTGGTTTCATCTCTTTGTATGATATATAATTTTATATTGTGTGTGGACTCTAGACACTGATAGATGTTTGAAGTTATAAATCTAAGTTTATCATCACTGTAATGAAAATGAACTGTCTATCCCAACATTAACAATATTTCAGTGACATTGCATCTTACTGAACGGTGTGTCGATTTACCCTAATGGAGCCAAAGGTGACTCAAATGGACTTCTGTAGACTTTATATCAAAACTAAAATGCATCTATATATATAAAAAATTATTTAGTTTTGCGTTTTAGATATTTATATTGTTGAATATTCAGAATAATGGCTATTGAAATAAATGTGTTTTATGTTTATGACAAACATTCAAATTATTGTATCAAAAAAACTTACTTTATTCATGACATTTAAGCAAATTATTTTAAATATATGAGTTCACCAATCAGAAAATTTCAAAAATTTATGCTTTTTTGTAAATCAGTCATGTAGCAACAGCCCCCCCCCCTATTTTCCAGACATAACTTTTAGTTTTACTGTATTAAAAATGTTCATTGAAAGCCGGGTGTTTAAGCAACACCCTTGAAAGCCCCCCTCCCACCACACACACTTTCAAAAGAAAAGATGCTAAATCACTATAAATGATATTACTATTTTTATCATAATTAAGTCCCTTTGGTTAAATCGATGCATCTTACTGAATGTCACCTATCATGGATCATCATTGAACATATAATGAATCAATGTGAACAGAACTCATCTAACCAAAAACTACATTATATGTATGATGAAAATTGATTGAAAACTGCTCAGTTTTTAATTTATGACAGAGAATGTTAACACCTAAACATTCATAGGGAAAATCCACATTAGTCTTTGTGTACAAGAAAAAAAACTTGTAAGCATTATAGACACATTAAAACCACAGGTGCTTGAGGACAGGACCCCCCCCCCCCCCTTTAATAAAGACCCCCGGGCCTGTTAGACTTTTTTAACATAAATTATATATGGATGACACATTTGTGATAGAATCTATCCTACCAATTCAGAAAATTTGCTTAAACTTACATTTTATAAAAATATCTACCCTCTCTATATAAAAATTAACTTTTGTTGATTTTTATATAGAGAATGTAGGGTAGATTTAATAGAACGTTTGTTTTAGGTAAATTTTTCGATTTGCTGGTTTAGATCTTATCACAAATATGCCAATGAAAGATTTTTAATGAGAAAAAAATAGATAAAGCCCAGGGGTCTATATCGAAGGGGGGGGGGGGGGGGGGGTCCTGTCCTCAAGCACCTGTGATTAAAACCACAATAAATAAAGGAAATTCGCGTCGCAACTTTATTTGAAGTATTCTATACTGGTTGCAAGTGACGAGACCATAATTTAACCTTACTTGTGTCTTACATTACATTCATCGGCAAAAACAAACGATAATTATTTTTATTTTATCTTGTTAAAATACTGTCTTACTTACAATAGATCGGTTTTGATTGCGAGTTTACTGATCATAATTTGTTCTCTCGAGTGCAAACAGCTGATTAAGTTGGATGCCGATCTCGATGTTTAAAAACATTAAACAGTTTATAGTACACTTATGCTGTCGCTTTCTTTTCCCAAATAGCTTTTTTTCAGTCAATTAATAAATATCTAATTAAATTAGTCATATATTACCCTTCTTCTTATGTAATTTTAGAGATGAAGTATCAAATGAAAGCCTAGATCAGATGCCGATCGCGATGCAATAGCGTCGAATGTCAAACACTTATTTTTCAAGATTTTTCTGAAAATATTAAAAAAACCAGAATTCTTTAACAGTCTTGGAACTTTATTACTTCGATTTTACTTCATTTTAAACACTAATTGCGTCTTTATAAGGCGATTACTACTTTCTCTGGGTCTAATTATACAAGTGCCGAATTGCTAGGCTACCGCTTTTTTTAGAGCGACACTGAGCACTAGCGACGTTCTCCTTTACTTCTTAAGAAAACCCATTGCGTTAATCACTGCATGAACTACAGTCGGCATGTCGCCTGTACAGATTTCTTGATCAGTGACTGTTCCATCAATGAAACGTATAAAGACGTTCGCATCATTAATACAATAATTAATCTTTTTAATCCTACTTTAAGTGATTATTTAAACAGATATAAATATAAACAATAAAATGTCTTTCTTTGTTTGTTATTACTGGAATTAACGGTCGCAGCTATTGCAGAAAAAAAATTACATATATTCATTACAACATGTATTGGTCTCAATCCTCTGTTAAAACTAATGTCCAAATACATATATGTAACTGTATCTCACTTCTATTCTCAATGACCGTGTAGTGTAGGGCAGCGCCGCGAGAATTCCATCGGCATCGAAAGCAAGTTTTTGACTTGCCTAGATAGCCGAGCGGTCTAGCGCGCTGTTCCTGCACTGCTAGGAGACAGATTCCGAAACATAGAATAAAACTCATAGATATCCAAAATCAAAATTTGGACTTGAGTTTCTTCCCATTTAATGGTCTTAAGAACAGGTCTTCCACAGAACTTTGAATTCAAATGAGAACTAAATGTGCTCCTTAATACCGGTAATTCGAACTGCTTTTTACATTCCTTTGAAGCACCATTCATTCAAAGACTTACTTGAGAAGAAGGAAAAGCTTGCTATGACATTTATTCGACGTCGACTACATTTAATAAATAGATAATTTGGTTGCTACCATTTAAGAGCATGTCTACGAGAAAACCATGCAAGAGGTTATGGGAGCAAGGTTCTCTGATCAA